ACTTCAACAATCCAATTTTCATAGCTTTGAATAACTGATCGGTTGTTTAATACAAAATGATATAACATGGAGTCCTGAGTGATATCCTAAAGAGAATCGAGTGACATACTAAGGAGAACTGAGTGATATGATATACTAAAGAGAGCTGACTTTCCTGGTACACTTTCCTGGTCATCAGTAAGAATACAGTGTTTTAGCTAACGACAAAAGATCAGAATATAACTCAGTAAGTCTGTATCTAAGTAAATATGTTGGTGTAAGTTAAAACTTATTCACAAAACCGTATAAAATCTACTCGAAAGAGAATCTTGTTTTGAACTAAAAAAACTCAAAGCAGTAAGTGGTTCCTTTTTTAAAAAATCTAAGATATATATTTTATTTCTTGAGAGAAAAAATATCAGTGGAAAGTATGAGGGCTTATAACGCTAAAAGTTCCATCCCTGCAATAGGCACAATATAGATAACCCATTGTGTAGCGTCGTACTTAAGTAAAAAGTAATAGAAAGCAGTAAAAAGTATAAATTCTTGGTAGACTTCATGATATATGATGATACAAATTCGTCTCCGCCGTAGCAGGGGCGGCAGATCGGGCAGCAGCCGGACCAACGTTTTGTCATAATAACTGTAACTCTTTGTAAACTTTAACTTGCACTTCAAAAATAGTTTCTAGGTAAATAGATAGACTTATAGTAGTATGTATGAATCAGTATAACGATGCATAATAAATTACATGTGTAATCTGCAGGTGTTCATGCTTGTGCTTGCTTATAACTATGGTGAGTATAAGTGCCAGTAAGCACCTATTTTTGTGAATTAATAAAGAAGTGCTTTCTAATTATTGATACTTTCATTAAATTATAGTAAAATTTGCACAAAATTCAATCTGAGAGAACCTATTTTAAAATCTTTTCTTGCGGCATGCCTCCAAACCTCACTAACACTGACATACCTTGCACACTATTATGAGTTGCCTGACCAATCCAAACTTGTTTCCTTCACCCCTGAAATTTATTTAACTCCAAAAAAATATTGTTTCCATGTAGAGTCTTTCTATCCATAAAACCAAATCAATGGAAAATGAAATCAAGATTATAATATTGTTACGTCTCTGCTCGTTTGTTAATTTCCGGTATAAATTCTTTCCGAGGAACTTCAGCAATACAAGTCCTTTCTTAATTAAAACTAGTTTATTCTTTCTCGATACAACGTTGTAATACACAGAGTTTCCACAGTCACTTTAAACTTAACAACCTTTATAACACACGCTATAAATCAGTGATTCACACACTTTACTTACGGTACCTACTGTTCGCTTGACTCAATTATCTCTATCTTCAATCTATCTGCATATCTATCTGTCGCTGGCTTTATTTGCCGGGTTTATATACTAAAAAAGAGGGCGCCTGGCAAACACTCGGACATTCGCGGGGTTCCTCGATAAGTCATGATCCTTCTAGAAACTCCAGCGAGCATGCTCCCAGCGTCGCGTGACTTCCGCTGTCGTAACAATATGTTCTAAAAATTAAAACTGTGTTAATCAGGTTACATTAAATAATGTTACACCAGAAAAAGCAATATAAGGTCATAAAATCTGATTTGATGAATAGACACTTTTTTAGTGAATGTCAAACGGTAAGAAGAAAAAAGGAAAACGTAAAGAGGGGGAAGAAAAGAAAGATAAAAAGCTGATGAGGGAAAAAAAGAGGGGAGAAAGTTATGGAAGGAAAGAAGGTTTACCATTTGGCCTAACATCTGTGATAACAATTACATTAAAGTGATTTGTTCTGTATATTGTTTGTCACAAATTATCTTTGCTTTGGCCATCGGGGGTATTGAAACCCAGCTTTTAACGTCATATTTTTGTTTGTTTGTTTAAAAGCAAAGCCACATTGTGTACTGTAACAATATTTATAGACTGTAATTGTTCTTATCAAACATGAGATTTAAACCTTTATTATGTATGGATCGATATATTGCATGTTTTTGTTGATTTAGATATATATTTATGATTGATACTACCTAAATAATTCGTTTCAAGAAACAAGTATTTCAGAGAACATTGTGAACAACTTCAAACAATGATGTAGGAATAAGTGAGGTCGAAAATCCGGTAAAATGAATATCCAAAACTATAAAAACTTCTTATAAAAAGGAAAGAGTAAAATAAAACTTCGCATTGATACAAAAAACTTGATCAGTTCTTTATTTCCTCATTCATCAAATATAGTTTAGAACTCCTTTCTTAGGACTTATTTTACACTAACTCATAAGATCAAAGTTGAACAATATTGTTACGTCTCTGGTCGTTAGTTAATTTCCCGTATGATTTCTTTCCGATGAAACTTTAGCGACACAAGTCCTTTCTTAAATAAAACTAGTTTATTCTTTCTCAATACAACTTTGCAATACACTTAATTTCCACAGTCACCCTATAACTTAAACAAACGCTATAATTCACAGCGAACGACTCACGCGCTTGACTCAATTGTCCGTCTCTATCTCTGTCTGCAATTCAATTACATTGTTGCTGTCACTTCTTGGCGGTCTTATATACAAGAATACCGAAAATCTAGTAAACACTCGAGGCTTCACGAAGGGACATAATTTTCTAGAATCTCATGTCGTGTTATTAGCGTCACGTGACTTCCGCTGTCGTAACAATATATTGTAGTGAAGGGACGTAAACAACGTTTTTATCTAATATTTAGTGTTTCAACCTGAACTACCCATTATGAGAGGTATGAGTTAATCAACTAGGTCAAAATCCTTTAAGGTTCAGGCATAGTCAATCTTAATTTTAGATTGTTTACTAGAAGGAGAGCAACCATTATGTGGTCATTCTTTAGTATGCGAAGATGGCCCGGCATGGCCAGGTGGTTAGGGCGCTCGACTCGCAATCTGAGGGTCGCGGATTCGAATCCCCGTCACACCAAACATACTTGCATTATAATGTGACGGTCAATCCCACTATTCGTTACTAAAAGAGTAACCCAAGAGTTGGCGGTGGGTGGTGATAACTAGTTGCCTTCCCTCTAGTCTTACACTGCTGAATTAGGGACGGCTAGCGTAGATAGCCCTCGTGTAGCTTTGCGCGAAACTCAAAAAACAAACAAATTGAATGTCAACTTCTATGTCTAAAATTAATATAAAAATTTGTTAATAGAAAACAACATTCTTAAATCATACGTATAAATAGATAATGAGTTTTGATGATCTAAGTCTTTCTGCACGTGAACTTCTCTATATTTCAATTGAATGATCATAATTTTTGAAAATTCATCTATTCTGTATTGTTATGATAGAATACACGGTACAGATAGTTAACTTTGATCTATTTTATTGAATTGATCATACAAATGTATATTGTTGCGTCAGCGAAGTCACATGACTAGTGTCACGCCACGTTTCTAGAACTATCCTGTACCT